TCATGGTGAACGTCACTAACGTAATAGGTTTGGCAAAACAAACAAACACACTTTCTAGTCAGTGCCTTCAGGAAAATTTAAAGATGATGGAGAAAAAATGTGAGTAAATGACAAAGAAGGTGAATTTTCTGAGATTAGAATTCTATGGGAACTGACCCATTGTTTTGTGTTTGAAATAATTGCAAACACAAAACAATGGGTCAGTTAATTTAATTCCCATAGAATTCTAATATTATTTATCACAAGATGTTATGTAAGGAAATTTCACACCACTGAGTTAAGGTTGTGCAGTGATGGCAAGAAAATGGTAAAAAAGAAGTGTGATGTATGTACAGAGATGTTGTCTTGCTTATTAATATCATTGTTGTTTTCACATTCTGTTGCTATAACTCCCTTTTATCTTGTTGTTGGCTTCCTAAGATTAGTGCCAATGCCATTGCACTTTCTGGTCTAACTGGGTATCTGCGTTCTTAAAACATACCATCATTATCTTGTACATCGGCATCAATCCCAAGCAAAACTGCCACAGTCTGCATTATCCTTTGATCCTGCAAGTACCTGTTAAAATTAAAGCTAACACTTAAGAGCCTAGTATCAAGTTAAAATATTCTTCTCATTGTTTGCCATACATTTTTTTAATAATAATATAGTAATAATTTACATGTATATAGGGCAAACCTCTATATGAATACATTCGGTTGCGCTTTACAACATTGTTATATTAAATTTATGTTAAACGTGACTAAAGCATGAGAAACTATTAAAAACTACAATAAAAACTATTAAAAACTATTAAAAAAAACCTACAATAAAAGCCAACAATTAACAACAATGTCTTATGGCAAAAGCAGTCTTATGGTGCTAATAAAAATTTGTTTGACCATCAAGAATTTTTATCTTTGCTGACCTTTATTTCCTTTATTCTTACACCAAAATCCATGTTCTGGGCCCCATCTAAGTACCAGGATTTGAGTGCATGTCATCGTAATTAATTAAAGTCGAAAGGTTGGGAAACCCTTTGTAATAGGTTTTTGTTAGCTTTTTTGGACCTGACCATGCACAATGTTCAATAGCATTCCTATAAACAATGGATTGCGCATGGTCAGGGAGTTTCCAACACAAACCACAGCACCATTGTTTCACAACTTTGATGTTTGCCGGGTTTCCTAACCAGTCTCCTCTGCTAACTATGATGCCATGATTGACATGTTAAAAAAGCCCTCGTCAAATTGCCATTCCAGTTGATGGGAAATTCAAAACACATTTCTGGTAATTTGTGGAGTCTGTTGGGGGCCCAGATCCTGAGATCCTGGTAATACCACTAATTATTAGTGGAATTATCAGGATCTCAAATTTTAAAACAATCACATCTGTGCTGAGAGGTTTTCCATACTCCTTCCCCTACCCTTTTGACATAACTCTATAACTTAATATTACGGATGATGCAATTTCCCACACTGTATGGTCACCCGTACGAAACTTGCAGCGCTCTCCAGCGCCACAAAATCACTTCAAAATAGCTGTACAGCTAAATTACAGCTGTTCAGCAGCCTTTTAGAAGCCAAACAGCAGCTTCATTCAAGTTGCAGCGGGATGCAAAAGCGCTGTGCAGCCTTTGAAGGCTCTTTGAAGCTCTCGGCAGCGGTTTTGCAGCGCAGTTGCCGACTTTCAAACGCTGCGAAGTAGCTGCAATAACGCTACAATTCAGCTGCAGTCGATCTGACTTTCTTGAGCGCCAATAACATGAATCGCCAGATAAAGCCTTGGCACAGATTACGGCTTTTATAACGCGAAAAACTTTGACTGTACCTCTAATAAATGTGAGTAAGCTTGTGCGCAGGGAAGATCACTTATTGAATAAACCTCCAAATTCTATGCTTTCGGCATAAAGAGTTCAATAAATTTCATTCCGGGACCGGCGAGTGTGGGAATGTTATCGCTAATTCCCTAGAGACATTCTAGGCCATAATCTAATTGGTCGGTCCATTTGCAAGAGATCCCATTACATCTCTAGACAAACACCGGATCGCCCAAACATTTGCGACTGTTGAATGAAAGGCGCAAACTTCTAAGTTTTTTTGCATCTAGTTCTGTTTCGAGATGGAAGTTCTGTTGATGTTTTTGGATGGAACAGCTCAAACGTATTTGCAAACAACGCACTGAACAGTGCACTTCTAAGCTAAGTATCGACGAATCAAACCAGAGCAAGCAACACAGATACAAGAATCTCAGATGGGTTTCACACTTACAAGATTTGTATGTTCGTTCCTTAGTCCATTGTAAAATTTAACGACGACCAAAGTATAATTGGGTTGATTTCATTCATGAAAAAAGTGTAGAAGATCGTGGATCATGGACAAAACGTCAAGGTGAGCAAAATCCAGCTTAGCCCGTTGCAACGAATCAAAATATCATTTGGCTGCTGTCCGTATAAACTTTATGTAGAACAATCGCTGTTATTCTCTTTATTTTTAAAAAAGATAATTTTCAATGTCTGCATGTTAATGGATGTTCTTACATTCAGATGAGTGACCGTGATTGCTAAATATTTACAGAGCGAGACTGCTGCAGATTTGTTCTATGTCACGTGCTTTTGAAATGTGTACGCGTGGATACTAATAAAGAAAAAGTTGCATTTTGACTTTCTAGTGGTTTTTACTCTGCTACTAAGGCCTTGTCAACTCCTCTACCATGTATCATGATTATTGTATTATTGGAGCCTGCATTTCTTTATTTTGTACTAACGAGTGGTAGGGCATTACCGGTAACAACATTCTTTGTCTTTTCGAAGCCACTTTGCAGCCACTTTGCAGCCACTTTGCAGCGCAGATCGTGATTCGGGAATTTTCTGCACCGCTGAAAAGCGCTGTTTTTCGCTGTCAAAGGGCTTTCCACTGCAGCCAAAATTTGCGGCGGCTGCAGCCCAGCACTTTTACAGCTCTTTTGCAGTGCTTCTTGAAGCCATTCTGCAGCGCTGCAGCAGTGCTGCTCGTTTCGTACGGGCCGATGCGATTTGACATAAATCATTAACATCAAATTACATCTGGTCATAAATTCCACTTATTTTATTATTTTAATGATGGACAAGTCAATAGAATTAAATCAAAAATGAAAATTTTAGGTTATTTACTTTCACAAACATCATGAAGAACATTATAAACTTTCTCCGGTTGATGTAAATCAAATGACAGTACAGCAAGTGTTCCAATGATGCCAAATGTACACGTAATCCAGAGAAATTGCATAATTTGCCTCAAAGAAATTTTTATACATAATGTGACCTACTAGAAACACCGGATAATTTCATAGCATTTTCACCACCATGCCAGAAAGCCTGTAGCCTGTGAAAACAGCTGACATTTTGTTATGCAACAATCGGTTCCCCTGCAAAATGAGTCTGAGACATGACTGCAGAATTTCCATAATGATGACGTGTCACCACCCAGATGTGGTCATCCTGTGAGGATAATGTGCTTCAACCAATCAAAAGCACTACCAAGATCTAGGTAGCCATCAGCATGGAATATCTCCCCAGGTTCTTCAGACGTCGTTTTGCAGGGAAACCAGTGGTGGCGTTTCAAAATATTGGCTGTTTTCTCAGGCTAGAAAGCCTGCTTTGACTTATCACTTTGATGGTTACATAACGTTCACAAAGTCCAACTTACGTTCCAAGCAGCTGTGGGTTCTGCCGTAGAGTTTCAACTGTCTTACGATAGTCCTCTTGTTCCAAAAATGCTTTGGTCTTTGGGTTTGTCGCAAGACGAACATACAAATCGGGCATTGCAAATGGATTCATCATTGGATTGTTTCCTATTTCAAAATATATGTTGCTGGTAAACCTGAGACTAAATAAGTGTTAGTGTATCTTTTTCCTGGAGAAGGTCACATATTGTTTTAAAGTTTTGAGTTTTTCTGCAAACAAGCAGCAGCGAAATTCAAATGCTTCTTGTAAAGAAGAATACATTCCATGAATTCAGTTGCATTCACATTTGATCTTTGTGATCTTTTGTCTTTTATTTTTCAGTTGCAAACAATAGCTAAAAGAACAAAATTTCTACAATGACCAATCAGTGCTTGTTGAGCAGATTCCGTCACCAGTATGGAATTTGCCTGGCCAAATCACAGACGTCTCTCCTACGAAAAGTCCTTTGTGGTGAGGAGAGAGAGGAAACTGCTGCATTCACAGGCTATTGACTTTAACGCTAGGGAAGGGACATTGTTTGGGACAGTCATCTACTATTTCATTGGCTGATTTATATCAATTTTCTCCTCAGCATATCAATACGTAATCAAAAGAAAAGGTTAGGAGAATAATAAATAAAAGGATAACCTTGTAGGCTGCAAAAACAGCTGTTTCTCCTCGCTCATTGCTGCTGGGGATGTTTCGCGTGGAGGAATGTCTGCAACTCAGTGACAGAAATTCCATACTGATGATGTAAAATCCATCCAGAATCTGGTCTTAAGCGCTGATTGGATTATGGAGTAGTTACATTGCTTTTAGCTATTGTTTATGAATCACACAGACAAAACACAAAAGGCCACAAAGGTCAAATGTAAATGTGATGAATCTATAACAAAACAGTCAATATTTATGGGAAAAATCTTCTCTAGCAGGAGTATTTGAGTTTTGCTGGAGCTCGTTCACAGATGAACACTACACTTTACCAAAATCAACCAGGAGAAACCTAACATTGAATAAATTTGCATTTAGAAACCCATGACTACTGGATTTATTATGTAAACATTGATTTACGTCATCTGTATGTAATTTCTGCCACTGAGTTGCAGACGATCCTACTTGCAAAAGGTCCTCAGCAGCAAAGAGCGAGGAAAAACAACCGTTTTCGCAGCCTAATAACCTTGGTGAAAATGCTTTGATCTTTTATCAAACTATTCAAACTAATTCTTTGACGAAATGTACAGAAAAATTTATAGGTGGATATTGGGGGATATTAAAGGGTTTTAAACAACTTGTTCTGAGAGCTTTGCGAGACTCAAAACTACTTACGTGCAGCTTGTGCTTTTGCGTCTTCTAAGCCACTTTTTAACTGGGCATTATTTGGATCCAACTGAAGACCTTTAGTGTAAGCTTTTTCTGCTTCATCATGGCGCCCAAGGAATGACAATGCAGCACCCAGCCTTGAATAACCCTTTTAGTAAAAAAATTAAAGAAAAGTATGGAAGGGCATGAGTAAGTATGGTACTGTTGGATCCATATTCTTTTCTCTTGAGGGCAAAAAAAACTACTGCAGTGCATATTAGGAATTAGGTATTAGGAAGGAAGATCACCCAAAAATGTTGAAACAAGAAAAATCAGTTTAAGGAAATTTTATGTCAATATATGGCAAAAAAGAAGAAGAAAATTATCAGATCTTATAGTTCCATAAACAAGTCATTTTGGTTACAAGTGAGACTGTAGCAGAGTTAATAAACCCTTTCACCGATTCAGTGGCCATACTAAATTAAAGGAATTGTATAGACTTTTAAGGGATAAATCACTTGCAAGGTGCTAGCTTAGTAATGGTTTTAAGTTTTCTTACTACTTTTAAACTAGAAATATGTGAATCGCATGACCTAGTGAAGGACTTTGGGGGTACAGCAAGAAGTTGAAAGGGAAATAAGGCAATAGGGAAGAAAATTTATAAGTTTTAAAAAAACTTAAGCTATATGCAGCTGTAAAGAAACGAAACAAAACTACAAATAACTAAAAAAAAAACTAAACCAAAAGGAAAACAAAAAAAAGAAAAGAACAAAAAACCAGGTTCTGCCCGGAATCAAACTCTGGACCTCCTATGCGCCAGGCTATTTCATTACCACTACGCCATGTGGAACACACTGGGAAGGAATCGATAATATTTTATTAAAAGCCCTTCCCCTAGAACTTCCGCCAGCACACCCTGTATAAAGTTGATCGAGCCCTATTGAACTCGAAAACACATTTCAAGGCATTTAAATAACAGATGCCCAACTAAGCCGATATGGTATAACCTTGTCTGCGAGCAAAACGTGTTTTGTGACCTCAATTTTCACTCATATGTTAAGTCTAATTATCCAAAATCACTTCCCTTTGCTCTTAAAAGTACTTTAACATTTGAAATGCATTGCAAAAAGCACTTACCAACTCCTAAAACAGCACTAAAAAAACCAAACCGGTAAAAATTTGACCAGAGCAAGACACTCTTCGGTGTTCCCTGGAAACACAAAATGCTCCGTGACGTCACACCCTAGATGACGTCAGGGCGGACACTATCGCAATATACACATAGAAATATAGGTGGGCCAGCTGACTTTGCAGGTTGCTAACACCACGCGTGGTACATGCGCTTCACACGCAACAAGATTATAAACCTCGCAAGGCGAGGAAGGAGGCCCCTTGCTTCACTCAGAATAATAAAATTATAATAGTAATAACTTCAATAAGTAAATAGAAAATCCCCTTAATTGCTCTCTGATGCTGTGTTTAAAGTATACTTATTTTATAACATTTATTTTCTAGAACTTGCAAATTCATGTACATGTGCAGTACAAACACTGTACATGTATGTACCCACGAGTTATTTACAATGCAATAAGCTATGATAACATTCATCCACAAGCAGTATTCGAAAAGCAAATGAAGTCACACACCTTCGCTTCTTTTCGCAAAAAGTCATGGTTGATTTTAAATACCCTTCTTAACGCAATGCTGATAAATCAATTTGACATGGACTCTTGATCGCCATGAAAACTGAACAATTCTCTCACCTTGCCCCAATCTGGTTTTAGCTCAACACATTTCTTGGCGTCAGCTAATGCTTGCTCATATTTCTTGTCCTTAGCATAGGCTGCAGATCGGTTGCTGTAGAATACATGATTTGAGGGGTCGAGAGAGATCGCCTCTGTGTAACACTCCACAGCTTTCGCCAAATCACCCGCTTGGAGATGAGTATTTCCCTGGTCCTTTAGCTTGGCTGCCTGCAATATAGGAATATTTACATTTCCTGTTTCTTCTCCGATTTTTTCTCTTGAAACTAATCATACAAGTACGAGAAAAGATCGTCTCACCCTGGCGGCATCCGCCATCTTCACGTGGCTCACACAATTTTTGGAGCATATGTGTACTGAGCATGCGTTTTGGGAATTTTCGACCGCTGCCTTAAAGTAACGAGGGCGGCGAGACCCTCCCTCGGCCCACATAATGTGATGAAACGACGATATTAACACTGTAAGTCGTGCGGCGAAGGAAAAGTGATCTGTGCTTATCAGTAAAGCTATTGCTTTTTTATTTTCTCTTTTCCGTCGTCAACGTCCTGGTTATTATCCCGCGAAATTATCCTTGATATTCGACGATTTCGTTGAAAAACCGACGATTTGGTGGAAAACGCGCCACGAAAACGACGTCTGCAGTTACCCAGAGTGAGGTTATGATTCTTTAGCTTTGTAGGCTTAAAGTCCGGCGAGTACTCCCTTATATAAGCCATATAGGGTATGTGCCGCCCCATGCCCAAAGGGTAGGGGTTTTGCGCCGTTTTGGTCTGAAAACGGGTATAGACTTTGACCATTTTGATATGGAAAAGGGTATGGAACTACTGGTGGGGGTGTATGAACGTATTTATCTTTCAGTTCCAAATGAGGAGAAAGAGAAATTTGCGAATTCCAAATAAATTTTAAGAAACCTTTTCTGTTAGCTTTCCAATCTAAGTAATGATGACATAATTTCTTAGAGGCCAGGTCTGAAAGCGGGTATGGATTTTAGAGGCCAGGTCTGAAAACGGGTGTGGAAAATGACATTTTTTGGTGTAAAGTAGAGTCAGGATTTGGAGAATCGGGCGGTACACCCCCCACCAAGAATTTCTAGGAGAACCCCCCGGGTTAAAGAAAGGAAGAATCCTCGGGTTTCAGATCCATTTGATAAAAACCTTGCTTTTTTTACCCCCGAATACGTTGAATCATAGATATAAGGACCTTTTTTTATAAAAACTGGTTTCAGTGACTTTGAACACTAAAGGATCGAATAAATATAGGGTGGGAATGGAGTCGAATTGCACTTTTCGACAGTTTTTTATTCGTGTGTTTCTTAGCCCGAAAGGTTTCCTCCTCTAGCAAAAATACGAGACGTTCGTGGGCTCATTCTCTCTGTAGATGCCATGGGCTGATGAATATGTTGCAGAGACAAGTCCAATTGATAAAGAGTGAGGCATTTGATTCTCCCCAGAGGTAATTAAAATGCCATTTCAGTCCTTTAATTTCTGTTGTAAGGCAAATAAAAATAAATCAAAATGCTACAAGTAAAAGTCATCAAGTCAGAGTTTAACCGTACTGCAGTTTATAATATTTGGTAACAGGATTTCCAACGCCACCAGCCATTTGTCTCCACGCCAGCAAAGCATCACAAAGGAAGGTAAGAGGACGGAGGGGAAATAAGGCTGGACAAGAAAACAACAACAACCACAACTTGTACGACAACTGACAACAACAACAAAATACAGTCGACTCCCTAAAACTCGAACCTTCAAGGGAAATCGAAAAAAGTTCGAGTTATCGGGAGTTCGAGTTATCGGGAGCTCGAAGAAAATAGCCGAGAGTAAGGTAAAAAACAGTTTTTACTGCTCAGTAAACATTTTAATCACATTAATTGTAGAAATGTCAATTGAAAATTAAAAGATACTTCTAGATTATAAATCAGAACGTAACGTAACAAAACTTAGCCTAAATAGAGCATGCGTTTTACTGTTTTGAGAAGTAAAGCTGCTTCACGTTAGCTTGTGACAATCAACATCAGCCTCAATTAGTAAACTATACTCCTACAACACGTTTTAAAATAGGAAATCCAAAATTCAATGTTTCAGACGCCAGTACACGGCTTTTAATTTTCCCGACTTTTTAAGGGCTCAAAACATGGTTCGAGTTATCGAGGGTAAAATTATATAGAAAATGACCTCAGGGGAAACGAAAATTGGTTCGAGTTAGCGGGAGTTCGAGTTATCCAGGGTTCGAGTTACCGCGGGTAAAATTACAGTACATGTATGACGGAAATCTATGGGAAATCTATTTTGGTTCGAGTTAGCGCGAGGTTCGAGTTAGCGCGAGGTTCGAGTTAGCGAGGGTTCGAGTAGCCTGCGTAGCAGGCGTCGAAAGGGGTAGGGGGTAGGGGATAGGGAGGAAGGGAAAAAGGGGAGGAGGATTGGGGAGAGGGGGAGGGGACGCCTGCTCTAAGAACCCCCTTTTGTTCATATCTGCGGACGCTGGCGTCCGCAAATTCCTGATTGGCTGAGCCGTAATGAGTAACATATTGAAATGCGCGTTTCACAAAATCAACAAACAGTCGAGATGGCAGCGGTAGACGTGGATGTCGTAGAGAGTGCTTTGAGAGATGTGAATTTATCTAGTGGTAGAGAAACTGTTTTAAAACCAGAGTAAGAATCAGCAGTAAGGGCTCTTTAGCCGACAGAGATGTTCTGGCGGTTTTGCGGACCGGATACGGCAAGAGTTTAATTTACCAAATGTTTGTACGCGCGAAGAACTACGAGCTAAATGGTAATGCGGCGATTCTCGTCATTTCGCCACTGAAAAGTATTAACGAAGACCAGTTGCAGGAGATGGAATTGTTGGGCTACCCAGCGAAAGATTTAGCCAATTTATCGAACGATGACATTCGCCGATGTAACTTAGCAATAAAAGAGGGTGGTTTTACCTCATGCCAAAATGCTGCTTATTCCAATAAAGTTGTTTTTATCTGCTGGGTAGATTATGCTCTGAAAGGTTCTGCATTTATACTGAGCAAATGTCATTTTAGCCGCATGTTTCACACTGAGAGGTCATGACATACATATCGATTGACTGTAGTTATTGTTTTCTGGTCGGCAGGATTTGCCCTCCGATGCAAGCGCAATTTCTTTGACCTCTTTTGAAGCGTAAAGCTTTTTTTTATTACGGCTGAATAAGGGTTCCAATTTTCTCCAAAGTGCCTTCTGGATCTGAATAACTAAGCGAATTTCTTTAGTCCGTGAGTGTAATGTTTTTCTGCAATGGCGAGTGTAGCGACACTTGATTGACAGTAGGCGTAATCGGATTACTAGAAAATTGGTAGGCGTTATGTAAAAACATAGGCTCTTAGAGCAGGCGCTCCCTTCCCTTTTCCCTTTCTCCCTCCCCCCTCCCCCTCCCCTTTTTGCGCCTGCCACGCAGGCTAGGGTTCGAGTTATCGGGAGTCGACTGTAGAGAACGATCCCATAAATATATCCCTCGGGGAAAAAAGAGCAAAAAGGTTAAGAACATGTTTCAGACCAATAGCTTGAAAAACGCTAAGTCACCAAGCTATTTGTATAATCTGTAAAATTTATCTGAATTATCAATAAAATTCGAGGTGGCGGCCATTCGAATGACGCTACAGGTCGCTAGAAACGCCATATCCCATAATACTTATATTACTTTCGCCACTCGGCCTTATAAAATTATTTAAATCTCATCGTCCTCTCTACCCCACCACCGCTTTACGGTAGGGGTGTTTTACAGGCTGAGTACAGTGTAGACAAAATCAAGAGGTGAAGTATCTTTGGAATTCACGGGTTTCTTTGCTTGGCAAATACCCTAAGATTTTCATTACAGACATACAATACCGTTCAATAAAATGTTTATCGTTGCCACTAAGTTCTCGTTTACAGTTATCAACAAGAGTGGAAGCATTTCTGTGCGTGGAATACGGGGAATAAGGTTTTCTTGGGTATGGAACACTGCTAGCTTTTGTGTTTGTCTTGATCCAGTCTGAGATTTCCATCTTCATTGGAATTTTCGCAAACGTGAATAGATTTCTTGTTGTGTTTTCTAAATCTAAAACCAGATCTTCGTATCTAAGTACCTTGTAAAGGTGAAGTAAGTCAGCTGAAAGGTTTTTGATTTCAAGAAGATTATGGTCAATACGGTTACATATTCTTTGAGTATGCTTTAGAATGTCCTGTGTTTGAAGCTTTCCATTTTTGAGCTTGCTTCTCCGCATGAAATTTAACTTCATCTGGGATAATATCAAGGCCCGTGGGTCTCTCACTAAGTGAATAACTTTGCACGGCTCTGGCTTCGTCTTAGCGCACATTGATAGCAACGATGCGATGCTTTGGTTGGGAACCCTGTGCGACAAGACCTTGACAACGCTGAAGGAGTACTGAAATTTACAAACTTCCTCCATCGTAGTTCCAATAAGCGGCGCGCAGTTCTTTCTTTCAGTAAAGGCATGAGTTGCTTCTCCCTGATGGCATAAAGGAAAGGAAGAAAGCGCCTTGCTAGAAGAACGATGAAAAGAGTTGAAATGATCAAGATAAACTGAAGAGCGGAACCTGCAATTTAAAATTTCAAACAGCAATTTCAGTGCGAGTCGATTGTAATTTTCCGATGGAAGGTTCAAGTAGAGATCTTCATTTGTTACCACGGTAACAGCACGCAGAGGTTCAAATAGATAGAAAACGTTTGGATGTTGATTAAAAATCTGACCCAGAAATGAGGAACCAGATCGAGGCTCTGAAACAATTATAACATTTTGACTCTTTTGCTGGTGGAAGAATCTAATATTGACGAAGGTGTAAATGAATCACTGCGGAGTTTAGTCGTTATGACGCCTGTTCGTGAGAACTGAAGACTTCTAAAGAAAGCCATTTTTCTGCCGTCTAAGGTCTTCTTTTCACTCAGCGGTTTGTTGTTAGTATTAAATGCAGTACTGAGGTTTTCGTTCAAACCCTCAACACGAGGAAATTGTCTTTTAAGTTGGTTAACCTTCTGGTTTACAATTAACAACAAGATGCTTATTAAAACACATAAGGCAAGTGTTTTTTAGGTTTTTAACCTCACCGTCGCGCGCGTGCAATGAATCTTAGGCAAGCGTGCGCGCAACTAAAATTTACGAGATCATTTAAATCGTGTGCTCTTTTGTTTGCTTATCAGTCATTATAGATGACGATCACTGTGTGCAGACTTTATTTAAATAATTACTTTACAACTGCCTTTTCTGCATCAAAAAACCTTCAGCCCTTCCATGCAGTTCCAAGATTACAAAACAACATAAGATTTTGTCCACTTTCTTGAAAGGTAAAAACATATGTCTGCTTATTTACATAGCTTGACTCAGGGAGTTTAAGGGGGAAATAATTATGGACATACTGGTCCTAATATTGTTCAAAAGATAGATAGCGCTATCCACCGGATAAGTAGGACAAATCCAATTTGTTTTAGAGGCTCATCCATAGGATAGAGCTTACAGTAGATAATGGTGCTATACAGCTTTTGAAACCGGGGTCTAGATCGTGGGGGCACTGCATTTAATTGTCAGTTACATCCATTTACCTTGCAAACGGAGCACGTTCAAGTTTAAACCGACGAATTGCAACATAGTGATAATTATATATATTTATGGCGAAAAAGTTCATAAATAACCTCAAACTTGAACTGGTACTGTAACTCTTAGGAGGGCAGTTTCCCAGAAACCTAACTTGATCCTCTCTTTCTTCAGAACCCGCGCCTGAATAAATTAAATCATTTCACCTCAGAATGAAAGTAAAATTATATTCAGAATTTTTTTCAGTTGCCTGTTTAAAAGAGGCTGTCCAGTCTTTGTTCAATAGAGCACCCCTTATATGTCATTTTTTTTTTTTTAAATACTGTGTGTGAATCAACTGTATTAGTCCGTGAAAAGGCAAGAAGATCTGTTCTTTGCTCAGGTGCTTTTATGGTCTTATTTTTTATACACAGATGGCTTTTTCCTAATTGAAACTTAAAATCACATTGTAAATGCAAACTTATAGTTGTTCTTCTTCCTGCCAAACCGAGTCTTTTGTGAATACGCGAACTAAGTTCTACAATTATACCATGCATCCAGCTCAGTTCAATATTAGTAGCGAAAGATCATTGGGAAAAAAATCACTTAAAACTGAACTATTTTGACTACAACCCTCTACCATTACACTCAGTTTGATCAAGTTTGGAATGTATACTAAAGTTAGTGATTTATATAATTGCACGTATTGATAACAAGACAGTTTTAGTTTTCTCAGTTAGTTTTGCCTTCAATAAAGCGACTGTAGAAAGGTTTGAAGCGCACGAAGCGCTTATTTGTCTTGGCGCCTCTTGGTCGAAGAGGTTTTTTTTTTACCTGAATTAAACAAAAAGCCCAAGTACTAAAACACACGTCTTTCCCAGCCCATTATCTGCATGCCCGCATTTGTATAAATCTTCCCCGAACCATATCTGGAATTCTTGTGCTACCGATACATGCAAAGGAGTGGAAAAATTATCAAACAGCAGCTCTGGTGAGTCAACAGTTTGACCTGGAAGGCCATAATAGTGATTTTTGCAAGGTGATCCTTCCAAAAAAAAATAGTCATCTTTTGGAAGAAGTCGTTCACTCTGGGAATTGGTTATGATGGTTCCAAGTCGGTGATCTTTGGAAACACTAGGAAGAGTGCAACCCCAGCGTGATGACCAACCTGCTGCGCACTCTACAGATCCACTTTGATGTATAAGCTTGAATGTTAGCAAATCACCTGCGATTGGAGTTACAAAGCGTCCAAAAGAGTCGGCTGATGCTCCGAAACAAACTGGAGAAGTTGTCATCTGCATCCAGTGGACTGAAAAAAAAATGGCGGAAAAAATAATAGGATAATTCTTTTCTCGTGGCTATTTATTTTATTCGGAGGCCTCTTTGCGTCGTAGGGAGGCTTTTTAGAGGGGAAAAAGGTTTTTTTGCATCTTCCCATCGTCCACGTACACTGCGCTTAATACTTCATTCATTCTTTCCCAGTGGGAGCCTCTGTCCAGTAGGATCATGCATCATATGTGTCCATGGCAAAGGTTGTATATGTAAAATATATGAGAGAGTAAAAGAGTAAAGCAGTTGAAATGCGTACTTGGACTAAACTAAATAATTAATTTTCTTTAAGTTAGGTAATTTAAGTTAAACTTAGCTCTGCTAAGGAATATCTGTGGCACAAGACTCGAAAAGAACTTTCAGGAGGAACTAGAAGCTACGGTATCAAACCCCCGTTGATCCTGTAAAATAAGTGGACTAAGTAGGCGCACAGACAACTGACAGGTAAAAATTCTATTTATTACCGAAAAAAATGGCCGAATTTCAAACTGCATTGAAAATTTCTGAGTTACTGAAATTATATCGAATTCATGGTGAATCTTTGCGCCTGGCTTCCTAAAGGCCATTATTTACTTGTTTTAATTACTCGTTTAGAGCGGTTTTCACTTGACTGTCGCAAGTAATTGAGGAATTGGTTTGGTTTTGGTTTTACTACGCCCTTTGGTTGGCTAGTGTATTTACTTTGGTTTTGGTTTTACGACAGTCAAGTGAAAACAGCTCTAAGGTAACGTCTCTCGCTTGTTTGTTTTCGCATGCCGGACCACGGTAGCATGAATTTCAGACGATTACTTCGGGTCGTTTTCTCCTCTCAGCAACGTCTGAATCGACCAGCCGTTAATGCCGTCCAGTGACGTCACTACCCGAAAACCGGGAAGTGATTTTGATTGGTTGATTGCCCAAACATTCGCATAATCATGTATAATTATGAGAAATTTAAGCGGGATTTTCGTTTGATATTCAGCGGATCACATGCTTGGCATGCTTGCGTGGAAATAAAAAATGCAGACAATCTTTATCCCGTAACCAGTAAAATTGCCGTTGTCTTCGAAACTATGAGTTGTTAAATTGAACTGCGAATGAAGAGTCTTTACGGAGAGTTGGTAGATTTTTCATTTAGAGCCGCTCTGTGGTTTCGGCAGTGACTTTGTTTGTGCGAAGTTTCTGGGATTAAGGTATAATTCGACCTTCTTGTCATTTCCACCGTCAAGTGTAATGATTGTG